TTAATGATTGGAAAAATATATATGTTAAAATAAAATAAATTAAAATTAAATAAATAAAAAGAAAAATAATATCGTAACAATTAAATAAAATAAAGTGAAATAGAATGAAATGAAAATAAATAGTAAAATCAAATAAATCATAATTAAAAAATTATCTACAAAGCAAAATAAAATAGAACAGAAAAATAAAATGAAATAAAAAATAAATATTAAATAAAAAAAGAAAAGAAAATTAAAATAAAAGAACCATAAAAAAAATAAACTAAAAAAAAATTAAAATATGATAAAATAAATTTAAAAAAAAATAAAAATAAAACAAAATAAAATAAATTAAAAAAATTAAAATTAAACAAAATAAAATAAAGTAAAATAAAATTACATTAAAGTTTAGAAAAAAAAAATAGAAAAATTTAAATAAATAAACAGAAATTAAATAAAATAAATTTTAATTTCACTAAATAAAAATAAAAATTAAGAATTATGCAATTAAATTGTATTAAGTTGAGGACAAAAATATATGGACATAAAGTAAAGAGAACTAAATTAAAAAAAAAATAATAATAATAGAATAAAATAGAAAAAATATAACAAAAAAAATATAAAACATTAATTTAAAACTAGTTTGTATATTGGGCCAATGAAATTAATTTAAAAAAAAAAGTAATGAAATGAAACTGAAAAAATTTATATGTACAAACAAAATTTACCACTTCGGTTTAGAGGCTCAAGAATTTACCCGCAGTAAGGGATATGTGTCGAAAAAGGCGACTAAAATCCAAAAGTTGCCGCGACAGTCGGGTTTTTATACCGGAACGAACCGGATTTTTTAACCGGCCAAGGACTGTCACTCCACTCACAATAACGGTTATAACAACAACAACATACAAATAACATTGAGTAAAATCAAGTAAGCCAAATTGTATTATATAATATATAATTTAAAAAAAAAATTTTTTTTTTTTAAATTATGCTTCACCACTTTTCAAGAATATCTACAATGTTTATTATGCTTTTTATGCTGTTCGTTGCTTTGTGTATTTCTTTCCCTCTGTAGCGATCACGATCAGCATTCAAACGCATGAGTAATCTTACAGCTTCCATTTAATTTTATGTCAGTCCTTTGAAATAGGCGGTTGGGAAATTGACGCTGAAGGCGCGCGCAAATGAGATCCGCGCGCACAGTTGTATGAGCATACACACACACACAGACACACACACATATGTATTTATATTATGCGAGTGTATACACAAATGTATGTATGTATATACATAAATAAGTTCATGTGTGTAGAAATTTTTATTCATGGGAAAACCTACAAAATGTCTGTAATTTTCACTGCCTTCTTTCTTCCAGCCAACATTCAAGCCAATTCATGAATACCTCAGCCATGCTTAGCCAACAACCAATGAGTACTTTTGTTTCGCTATTGTCTTTCGACTCTACTTGAACTCACAGTATGTGCTATTTGGCTCGATGTTTCGGTTTTCCAGTTAGCACTCGCCTTCTGCTGGCCACGATTGGTCACCATATGTGCGGCGCTGAGCGTCTCTTAAGCTAAGCTAAGAAATTCTTCACACTTGTGGGAACAGCGTGTCGTCTGAAAATTTTCTTCTGTTCGACACTTCACACGGCTGCAATTGGACAATGCGAAAAGGGAAAAAATTCTTAATTTGGAAATAATAATTGTTGGAGCGAACATATGGGATTGTAACCTTCACTTTGGTAATTGCAAGTAGCACGCGCTAAACCTTCGGCAAGGCAGACGAAAAATCTCATCACAGGCGTTCGAAATTGGGACGAGCTTCGAAAATTCTGCGATTTCCGATTAAAAAAAGTTTCACAGAGAGTTTCACAGCTTTCCAGTGATTCAAAGAAAAAAGAAGTGATTTTAAGAGCAATAAAGATGAATCAATGACTGATTGGCGAATTCTACAATAAGCAAAGAGAGATTCCATCCATTCCTCGTGGAATACATTCGGTCCTATGATCATTTTATAGTAAATTTCTTTATGGTTTGAGCTCTGTTTGAAAAGATCTCGGATATTGTAACTCATAATGATGTGAATGGTGTCTTAAGCTAGCTCCAACTTAGACACCCCTCGGCGCATCTCACAGCGTATTAACACTTACGTATACACATAACCAAATATGCCTCCAGAAGGGATGAAATTTTCATCAAAAGCTATAAATTGACGAATGGGATGAACTTCAAGCTCCCTATAGTGTTTTCCAAGCGCTTGACAGACAGAGGGTTCTTTTCACATTAAATCTACTTTTAGACCGATAGTTTCTGCAAGAACCCAGCAAACGCTAGATGAGCGTTGCCGGAGTGAGGTTTTGAGGTCTTTGGATCCTGAACGTGCTCGAATTGAGGTGGGTATCAATCAAGTCTGAGACTGGAAAAACTCAAGGGATCCAGTGAGGTTTTGAGGTCGTTCTTGGGGTCTTTGGATCCTAAACTTGCTCGAATTGAGGTCGGAATCAATCAAGCTTCCTCAAAATTTGTCATCATTAACAAGAGTTATTTCGTCTGGTTCTCTTTGGCTACCAAACCCATTCGTTCCGCTTCTTTATTCAGCCTGATGGAAGCATAGTTAATTTGTCAACTTACAGTTTTCAACAAACTGTACAGCGGTACCTTCTCAATTAAGGAATTGGGCATGCCAGTTGCATAAACTCAAACCATTATCCTAAGGTAGGTTTGCCTTGAGTTGAGTTGAGTTGATGCGGCTGCTGGTCAACCCCAGCACACTTAGGCCAATAGGTCCATTGTGATACCGCTGATACCTTCATCTTCTCAAATGATTAAATCATTTCGTCCCTACAGCCGTGCCAGAAATTAGGTTTGCCTTAGTTGTCATAAAAATTTTTAAGTTCTCTACCGAGGCTACATTAGCCTTTTTACTGAAGCTGATTTTTACGTGGAGAGCTCTAAGTCCAACGCACAACTTCGCTGCAGAAGCACATTTAAGATCGCGGCTCCACCACAGGCTCAGTTCTGGTGAGCAGATGATATAATTGGTAAGTTACCGCATCTTGTACAAAGGTTCTTACATTTTCAGGGTGCACAAGAGTATGCATTCTCTTAAATCGCGATCTTTAAAACAGTAGCAAATGTCGCCATCAAAAATGGAGTTTCTCTTCCGAGACTTTTTGTAACTTTTCAGTTGCCGCAAGATCCATGCACGATTGGAACTGCAGAAACTTTAATAGAACTTTTTCGAACCCTTAAAGGATTCTCTCGAAGAAACTCTCTCTTCGTACGTTACCCGGCACACAAATGGAGTTCATAATCAGAGTTGTTACTTCAACAATCGTGCATAAAAAGATTTCAAAATGAAGAGATCACAAAAAAAGGTCATGTACTTGACAGCAGGCGAGCTGAGGACCGATGCAAATACATACATACGCGCAGAGCCAGCAGCAACAGCAGCAATCAGTGCTGTTCTGTGAGGTTAAAGGAACTTAAGAACTGCGTGGTTCCACAGTTCGTTGATATTCAAGTGTCGCCGTAGCCTAGCAAGTCTTGGCTTCGCTAGAAAATGCAATGAAGCGACACAATGACATTTGAGCTCAACTAAAATTCTGACATGTCGAATTAATTTTGGTTGAAGTTCATCCCCCTTTTTTTTATCTTCCTCTTCTTCTAGTGGCTAGACAATGCTAAAATCAATCGATTATACTCCAACTGACGACTAGGACTTACATGTGGTTTATAGTTACATATTACATACATATATACATACATATGTACATACATACATGAAAGTAAATACTCGTAAATCACAAACTACGCCTGCAAGTCTCGAAAGAGAGGGTTCGGGAAAACTCGATATTTTACTGAATATATATATATATATATATATATATATGTACGTATATGTACTTATTAATATGCATGGGAATGCAAAAGGGAATAAAATATATATGTCTGTCTGTATATTCATAATTAATGTCGGTCATGACAGCCGCGCACATGTTTGTCAGCAAGTCTTTATATATGTATATATGTATGTATGTATGTATGTAAGTATATATAGAGTAGCACTTGTGAAGTGACATGGATAATAATGGCCTCGTAAGCATGAAGAGAGGGCTACATTTTTTTTTTTTTTTTTTTTTTTTTTTTGCAATTAAACACTTAGAGACAATATAATTTCTTTTTTACTTATTCATCCATGAGCCCAGTTAAACTCAACTATTTCTCTTTTTTTAGGCTGTTGTACTAGAGGGGAAATATTGGAAACGTCNTTTTTTTTTGTTTTGAAGCTACTGAAATGAGCAAAATGAGTACAAGTCCCTCCCGCCTCTCGGCGCTCTTATGATCATCGTGGCAATCAGTTCAGTAAATTTCAAAGTAGGCAACGCGCTGATGAGTTTGGTGAAGTTTGGTCTCATTGAACGGTCACTCACTGACTGCAGAGCTCCAAAAAAAGCCTACTCACGCGTTATAAGTCGCGCTCAAGGTAACAGTGTTGTATTGGTTATAAACATAGGTTATTTTTCAAATTTTAAAGAGGGGATATATATGCAAAATATTTTTTTTTGCAAAATGTTTCCGCAACTACTGCAAAAAAAAATTGCCAAAAAGATAAAACTAAAATTTTAAAATTTTTTTGAATTTTATTTTAATACAAATTTTAATTTTAATATTTTTACATACATACGTATAAATAAATTTTATAATTTACATTAAAATTCTTAAGCGACAGCTCATAATTGTAATGGTAAAAATTATATTCATTGGAGCTTTCACAAACTGTTATATATGTAGGTGAGTACATATTTTTTAAATTTTTAATGCATTTTTTTAATATTTTTTCTTAAGATCAGTTTTTAATTTAAATTTTAATTAAATTATTATTAATTTTAATTTTTTTTTATTTCAACCACATTTTTCACCTCTTGTGAATACCACAAATGAATGATTAATACCATTGCAATTAAAAAAAATTTTCTTTCCCAAAAATTTATTTGTTAACTAACTAATTAAACCCCGTTTTCATAGTCAATAATAATAAAAATATTATTCTATTTTGCTTAATGTTTAATGGAAAGTTTACATTTGTGCAGCTCAACAGCTGATTATACCATTTTTTACAATCTTTGATACATTCATACATTCATACATACATACTACAATTGTATGTATATATGTATGTACTAAAAAAAAATAATGCCTTCATATTACAATTAACAAAATTGTAAAATGGCAAAAATAATCTCAAAAGAAAAATTCCCATACACTTTTCTTTCAGCGTAAAAATTTATATTAAGATAATATAATTAAAATTCCTTTTTTAATAGCTAAAAATTTCCAATATTTTTCTTTAATTTCCTACCACTTATTACTACGTTTTACTTTGCGTATCACCTTCCATACGCCAAACACCAAAGAGATAACTCAACTTTTCAGGCGGTATCACAGAGGCGCCTGTCGCCCGCCTCAAACCCTTCAATTCAGTCTCGGCGCCGTTTGTGGCCGCGTTCAAAATAGACGCTGTACCCAATGGTAAACCATTACCGTTGAGTATACTCTTACTGTCCACCGATTTCAGCAGACTAATTTCGCTGGTGGAGAGCACACGACAGAGGAAGTCAATATATCTGAATAGAGCGAGAGAGAAAAAATTATCAAAAGCGTAAAAAAATGTCTATAAAATAGGAAGAAAGTTAAATTAATTTTATAAAAAATTTAGACAATTATATGACAAATTTTATAAAAATTTCATAGAAAGTACTAACTATTTTTTTTTTTAATTTTAAATATATCAGTTTTTTAAAAGTGTTAAATAATCTTTATAAAAAAAATTTATATAACTTTTATAAATATTTTTCGAAAGTAAAAATATATTAATTCTTAATAATAATATCTGGTAGAATCACTGTACAAATTCAGGTACATATTTACAAGATATGTATATGCATACTATGTATGTCAACTTATATTTTTGTGTGTGTTTGGAGAAGAAGCCGAACAGACATTCTGCTTACGAGCGGGAATACCATTGATTTGGGTTTTACTAAGCACGTGGTATTTCCAAAGGATATTTGAAAGATCGTTAAGATGTTTTCCAACACTCGAGATAATAATAAATACATATACATACATATGTATTTACAATACATATATAAAAGCGCGTAAATACCGGCATATGAGAATTTACTATTTTAATAATATACATATAAAAATTAAATTTAATTAAATAAAAAAATAAAAAAATAAATAAAAAATTAAAATAATATAAAACACATAAAAAAAATTAAATTCAATAAAACAAACTATAATATAATAAATGAAAAAAACTAAATGAAATAAAAAAACTGAAATAAATAAAATAAAACAAATTGAAATAAATAAAAAAAAAACAACATAAAATAAATTAAAAGAAAATAACATAAAATAAATTAAAATAAAATAACATTATTAACAAATTTAAATTAAATAAAAGAAAATAAAAGAAAAAACAAAGAAAAAGAAGAAAATAAAATAAAACAAAACAAATAATAAAATAAATTGAAACCACAAAAAAAAACACAAAAAAAAAAATATAAAATATTAAGCAAAATAAATTAAAATTAAATAATAAATTATAATAAAATGAAATAAAATATAACAAAATATGACATTGTCGGATTTAAATGATTTTGTAGATGCTATTTTGTCGGATTTTCTACCATTTTCCTTTTTTTATATAAATTTTTTAATTTTTGTAGAATTCTTTTAGTATATATATTTTTTTAATTTAATATTCTTTATTTTTTTTTATCATTTTATTTAATTTTTTTCATTTTATTTATTTTTTTATATTTTTTTGTAAAATATACATATATTTTTATGAATTATATATCTTTTTAATTTATATTTTTTAATTTTTTTTTTAATTTTTTTAATTTATATTTTTTTGAACCATATTTTTTTTTAAATTCATATATTTTAATTTATAATTTTTTCAGTTTGAATATATTTTTATTTATATATTTTTTTTTTCAAGATTTTTTTAATGCATATTTTTTTAATTTAAGTTTTTTAATTTATGTATTTTTCAATTATATATTTTTTAAATTAATATTTTTTTTAATTATTTATTTTTAAAATTATTTTTTTTAATTATTTTTTTTAAATTATTTTTTTTAAATTATTTTTTTTAAATTATTTTTTTTTAATTATTTTTTTTTTAATTATTTTTTTTTAATTATTTTTTTTTAATTATTTTTTTTTAATTATTTATTTTTAAAATTATTTTTTTTAATTATATTTTTTAATTATATTTTTTTTAATTATTTTTTTGTTAATTATATTTTTTTTAATTATTTATTTTTTTAATTATTTGTTTTAATTATTTTTTTTTTTATAATTATTTGTTTTAATTATTTTTTTTTTTATAATTATTTGTTTTAATTATNTATTTTTTTTTAATTATTTTTTTAAATTATTTTTTTTAATAACTTTATTTTTAATTATTTATTTTTTGCAATTACTAATTTTTTTTTTTAAATTTTTATACATTTATATATTTTCTTAATATATTATTTTTTGATATATTTATTTTTTGAAATGTATAAAATTATTTAATTTTTAATTAATTTTTTCCAATTTATTTTTAATTTATTTTTAATTTATTTTTTTTTTATTTTTTTAATTTATATTTTTTTTAATTTATATTTTTTTTAATTTGTATTTTACTATTTTATATTTATTTTTTATTTTATATTTATTTTGCATTTTACATTTTTTTTGTTTTATATATTTTTATTATATTATTATTATTCATATTTTTTCTTAATTTATATTTTTTTCCAATTATATATATTTTCTTATATTTTATATATATATTTATATATTTTTTATTATAATTATATTTCTTTTAATTTATAGGTTTTATTTATTTATTTATTTGTTTCAATACACATTTCTGTTTTTTTTTACTTTTATTACTTTATCTCTCTCTATGAGTTTTTCTAAGCTAAAATCTCTTTATGAGCATATACTAAAACTTTTCGTCATACTTTCTTCCCAAAACACACTTTACACCACATATTATGAATATCTTCGCCCCATTCTTCTCCAAACTTCACCCTTCCCACTAACACAAATTCGCCACTCTCTCACCTTGTTGCTAACTTCAAAGTCTGTATCTTGCTGAGCTTATCGCTCGGCAAAGTCGGTATGATTTGCTGTAGTGCCTTGAACGCATCATTCAAACTCTGCGTGCGCTGTCGCTCGCGCACATTTGCCATAACGCGTTGATTGTGAAATTCCTCCACATCCTCTGAACGACTGGACTTTCGACGCAACCGCCGTCTCGGCTTACGGAATTGTTTGGAAGATTCTTGATTTTCGCACAACGAGTCGGTGTGCATGTCCATTAGGTCATCATTGTGCGGATAATCATAGTTCGAATCGCCCATCTCCTGACTGTCGCCATTCGACATGCGCAGGAAATCGCAGTCGTCACCCTCCGATTGATTGCTCTTCATGGAATGTGCAAATTCGTAATGTTGCAGGGTTGTGGGTGTGTCTTGATGATGATGATGTTGATGCGCTGGATCATCGTGTTGTTGCAGGTGCGGGTGTACGAGATCAGGAGCATGCGATGGAGGTGTTGTTGTTAATTGTGGCGGATGGTCTTGTAGTTTCTGGTTTTGTTGTTGTGTTCGATGAAGTTGATCTTGTTGCTGTTGCAGACTCTCGCACATCTCCTGTGCGCCAAACTCGTAAGACAACGAGGACGGACTGCATGTGCTGCTGCTCCCTGCGCTGCCGCTGCCGCTGCTGCTCTCCGCACCTTTATTGGGCTGGGTGATAATAGAGTTGAGGCTCGCTACCGGCTCGGGCAGATATTCCAATACGAATCCAGACCCATCTCGTGCAGGCATAAAGCGCGCCCTCGTATGCGGCTGTCCATTTGGAAGTTGCAGGTGTGGCTTCTTTGCTTCGTTCATGAGCTCCGGCTCGGCGCTGTCAAATTCACGGCTGCGTTTATTATTAGACTGTGTTTGCAGCTGTTGTTGCGCTTGTTGTTGTTGTTGTATTGCATGGTTACCGTTGTTGTTGTTTCTGCATTGTGTATTTTCGATGCCAAAATTATTATTTAATTCCTTGCTGGCAACGCCGCCGGACCTAACTTGATCGTTTGGACCGAACCCGACGATCATACCCGGTGTATTAATGGTATTGACGCCGTTTCTCAGCGCATCCGTGTTACTCATATGAAAGTCCGGCGTAATCGTTTCAATTGTGCCGTAAACCATATCCTCTGCCTCCACCAAGCTGCCGTGGTTGTGTATGGTATTTGTTTGGATTGGTTCCAGATGCGAGGTATGTATTCCATTTGCGATTGCCGTTTGTGGCGTATGGTAGAAGGACGTAGTCTGTGCGTGCTGTTGTTGTTGTTGTTGTTGGTGCTGGTGTGGCGACATATCGTATTGCATATTTTGCAGATATTCGTAGGTTGGCGGCTCCATTTTAATTAATTTTATGGCATTGTCGTGCGTATCCATCAAAGGCGGCATAGGCTTGTAGCTGATATCCAGTATCACTTTAGGCGAACTCGATCGGATGGACATTATTTTTTGCTTTCGCGGTACGCGTGTGGTTGAGAGGCGAACTATTGTTCAATTTCTTTTTGGACCAAAACTTTTGATTTTTTGCTTGATTTGTTATTAATTTTTAGTTTTATTGTTCTCTTGCGGTTTTTGCTCTTTTTCCGAATCACGACGAGATATGTATATATTTAATTTTGTTTTTTTTTTTTTCTTTCTGTTATGTATTTAAATTAATTGATTTATTTTTATTAATACTTCACTTAATATTTTCTATTATTTATTTTCCGTTTCCTTATTTACTTAATTTAATTTTGGTCATTTTTTATTCTAATTTGTAGATTTTTAATTTTTATTTTTGGTATTTTGTTATTTTTATTTTCATATTTTTTATATTTGGTATTTTTTATTTCAATTTTTGTGATTCTTTATTTATATTTATATTTATATTTTTATTTTTATTTTTATTATTCTTTATTTTTATTTTTATTATTATTTTTATTTATATTATTCTTTATTTTTATTTTTATTTTTGTTATCCTTTTTTTATTTTTATTTATGTTATCCTTTTTTTTATTTTTATTTTTGTTATCCTTTTTTTTATTTTTATATTTTTTATTTTTAATTTTTATTTATATGTTAAATTTTTTATTTTTGTTTTTAATTTTTTATTTTTATTTTTATTTTTGTTATTCTCTATTTTTATTTTTTTATTTTTATTTTTTTATTTTTATTTTTTTATTTTTATTTTTTTATTTTTATTTTTGTTATTCTTTATTTTTGTTATTCTTTATTTTTATTCTTTATTCTTTATTTTTATTTTTATTTTTATTTTTATTTTTATTTTTGTTATTCTTTATTTATATTTTTATTTTTGTTATTCTGTATTTATATTTTCATTTTTGTTATTCTCTATTTATATTTTTATTTTTGTTATTCTTTGTTTTTATTTTTATTACTGTTTATTTTTATTTTTATTATTCTTTATTTTTATTTATTTTATTCTTTATTTTTATTTATATTATTCCTTATTTTTATTATTCTTTATTCATATTTTTATTATTCTTTATTAAATTTTTAATTTTGTTATTCTTTCTTTTATTTTTACTTTTGCTCTTCTTTATTTTGTAATTTTTTATTTTTATTTTTGTTTTTCTTTACTTTGATTGTTGTTATTTTTTATTATTTAATTAAAACGGTAGTTTGATTTTCAATTTTCTTTTAACCCTTTGCACATTTTTTTTTACAACAAATTCATAATTTTTCCATTTTATGCACCTCTTTTTTTTCAAACAAAATACAATGTTTCTAAAATGTTCGCCCGATTTTGTTGAATAAACCCGAACGTGAGGATTTCTGTCGCATCTTAGCACGCACGTCAACGGAAAGAAACTAAAATATTTCGCCATCAGTTGATTTTCATTAAACCGCTCTGTATATGTATATGTATATACTTTCGCATTGTTTTAGCAAATGTTGTGATTTCCCGTTGCAGCGATCGTTTCGAGAAAGAGACAACTGTATTAAATATTCCCAATAATGACATTATCCTCTCACTGTGAGTATATGTACCACACCCTTCTCGCTCTTCGGTATTCATAGTAGGCACTGCACGGAAAGCCAACATTTAGAGTTAACGTTAAATACAAATACAAAATACAATACCGTTGCAAGACCAATCAAAGATGTATATATCTTTCTCAAGAGCATTAAAGTGTGCATGTGTGTTTGTATATTTCTTCTCAGTTTTGGAATGTTCGCAATGGCGCTAAAGTTAGGCGGCGTATGGATATGCGATTCAATGGATATTAGGATATGCCTAAAATACCCCAAAAACATGCATCAAAAAAAAAAAATTGTCATGATTTCCGTTGAATAGCAAACTATAAGAATTATTGTCAGAAAAAACATAACAAACAAATTGCAAAAATAAATATTTATAAAACTTTGGATTATTTTATTCTGAATTCTTATTATTTTTTATTATATATCTTTTCTTTCGTTTCATTTTATGATATTCCAATGAAAACTTTGTATAATTTTTTTTGTTTTATTTTCATTTAAATTGTTTACATTTCCATTTGGTTTAATAATTTTTTCCTCCCTTTTATTTTTACTATTTTTTTTTCCATTTATTTATATAATTCCTCTGTTCACTTTATTTTCTTACAAAGAATATTTTTTACTGTATATCATTTTTTATTCTGTTATATTTTTAAATTAGTTTCAATTTATTTTACTATAATCTATTATAATAAATTTAATTTTGTTATCATAATTTTTAATTATTTTCATGTATGTATGTATATCCCAAATTGTTTTTTTATATTTTATATGTATACCCAAATTTCAAAACTGTTATTATACACCTGTCTTTCACCATATTATTGCAAGTATAAAATTTGAGAGGCGCTGTAATACTAAGAAGTAGGTTTGTGTCTAGGATGTTAACTAATCCTACAAGTTGTCTTAAGTTGCGGTTAAAGGAAATATATGAGAAGAAGAAATAGAAGCATTAAACATTACTTAATAATAAATTTAGTAGATATCTGAAGATATAAATATGTATATTCATATTCATACATATATAATATGTATGTACATACATATGTTTGTAGGTATAACAACGTAAATACCTTATAAAAAAGCCGTACAAAGGAACAAGCAAAAAGATGCATGGGGTGATACCGACGAAAAAGGATGCTGGAGATTTGCAACACAAAAAAAAAATCATATCGTAATGCTTTAAATTTACATTTTATTTTTGCAATTATTGTTGCAAAAAATATTTTTCTTAAGAATTTTTTTGTATAAATAAAGAGAAAAAATTTTAACAGTTTTCAAAACAAATAAATTTTATGAAACGTTTTTATTTTTTAATTAAATTACATTAATTAATTTTATTTTATTCATTACATTTCATTTTGTAATTCATTTTATTTTATTTTATTGTTATTAATTTATTTATTTTTAATAACTTTGCTTTATTTAATTTTATTTTTTTAATATAATTTATTTTTTCTTCATTTTTCGTTTGTTTAAGTTGATTTCGTTTTAAATTTTTTAGTTTTAATTTAAAATTTTTATAGTTTTTAAATGTATTTATTTAATTTAAATGTTTATTTTTTAATATTTTTAAATTAAAAATAATTAAATTTTTTAATTTTACCTTATTATATTTTTTGTTAAATATTTTATTTATTTAGTTTTTAGATTAATAAAAAAATTTTATTTAAATTTTTTATTTTAATTTATTTTCTTTTTCACTTCTTTTGTTTAATTGAAATTTATTTTACATTTATTAAATTTTTCTTTTTTAATACAATTTCAATTTTGTATTGTTTTTAAATGTTTCTTATTAAATTAATTGTTTATTTTATTTAATCTTTCTAAATTAAAAAGAATTTAATTTATCAATTTTACTTAATTATACTTTTTGTTTTTTGTTAAATTATTTATTTATTTATTTTTTGGTTTAATACAATGTTTTTATTTTATTTTAATTTATTTAAATTTAATTTTTTTGTTTAATTGAAATTTATTTTAAATTTTTCTTTTCTTTATTTCAATTTAAATTTTTTGTAATGTTTTAAATTATTTTAATTATTTACTTCTTTAAATTTTTTTAAATTAGAAATAATTTATTTTTATTTAATTTTTGAATTTTTCTTTATTATATTTTCTGTTTTTTTGTTAAATGAATTATTTATTTATTTCTTCAGTGTTTAGTTTAATAAAATATTTTTATTTAAATAATTTTTTTATTTTAATTTCTTTCTTTTTCATTTTATTTTGTTTAAGTTATTTTCATTTTAAATTTTTTAATTTAAATTTCAATTTTGTATTGCTTTAAAATGCTTTTATTTAATTCAATTGTTTACTTTATTTAATCTTTTTAAATTAAAATAAACTTAATTTTTCAATCTTCCTTTATTATATTTTTTGTTTTTTTGTTAAATTATTTTTTCTATTTTTTAATTTAATATATTTATTTTATTTTATTTTGCATTGAAAATCTTGTGTAAGTCCGAAAATGGTCAGTGGTTTTAAGATTGAGAATTTCCAAATGCATCTTAAAGAAATATGTATATATTTCAACATACATACATATATACATGTGTTTACATATATGTACATTCAGTTTAGAATCCCCCCCAACTCCACTTACATCCCGAAACGTACTTACATACATATGCATATACAAAGCTTTTGCCGCCAATATTGATTTTCGCTGAATCGTCACTCTCTTCATACATACATACATATTAACCACCATATGTTTAAGTTTTGCGTTTTGCGGGAGCTGCGCACCGCTCCGCTAGCTTTGAAAATAACGCACAGTCCGCAGTTTTGCCGAGCACCGCAACGGAGATGGAAGTATTTGTCGCTGAAGTGCGTAAAAGAGAATATTTGTGGAATACGAAGAAAATACCGGTGTATAAACAACATAAAAGTATTAGAGATGAATTGTGGCAGGAAGTGGCGAAAGCGTGCAAAATTAGCAGTGAGTAACGGTCATATAAAGGCAAATAATTAAACATAAAATTTCCTAGACGAATTACATACACATTTTCATATTCATATTCAGACTCTTTCTTATACCAACAAATGTCTTTGCGTACGTAAATACATATATGTGGGTATGTACATATATATGGCGGTTGAGTATAAAAACAAATACATAATTAAACTGCGATTCGCTGCTTTTCAAATGTACACAAACGAGAAGCAAGCGCGACGCAGCTTAGCTTGAAAAATACGAAGATGGCTCGGCTTGTGTGCGGCAAGCGTATCGACCGTACGTATTTACAGGCATAACTATGAACTTACATATATAATATTATATATGCATATACAATATTATCGATATACTGTTATCGCTCGTAACTACTTCAAAGTTATGCGCACTAGTAAGTACATAAGTAAGTATGTATGTATGCCTGTAGGTAGATAGGTGAGTGTTTTTGTAATTCACATTGCTGAGAGCGCCTTTCAGCCGAAGGCTTACATTGAACGAGCGCAGTACTGCAGCGAATCGTTGAAAGTTTACAGCTATACATGGATATTTGCGTTACGCAGATAAAGCGTACCGTAATTATTATGCGTACGATTAAATAAACAAGTTTCTAAAGCGAAAATGTCACATGAATAATGGATTTGGCTTGGACTTGCCGTGACAACAAAGGCCACTGAATGTACATACATACATATCATAGATAAAATGTTCAAGCGGGGTGTGTGACAGCGAGTTAGATAGCTGCGTCAGCCAAAAAAAAAAACAACGAAACCCAACAACAACAAACTAAGAATCCACATACATATGTAGACGTAAAGAGCTCTTCGACTCTCCATCGTGTTGCGAAAATCAAAGAAGTCTCCGATTATGAGCTAAGACCAAACTTAGTCCCACGAGTTGGGAGTTCAAAAATTGACACGCATACCTTATTTGCTTATCGTAAAAGGAAGGCTCGGGTTCAAATTCTTCTCCGACCAACATCCAAAAGTTATAGAAAATTAATTTAAATACAAAAAAAAAATATGCTGAATTTTCTATTTGCGGCCACCCCTCGGCAGGAAATGTCAACCACTCGGAGTGTATTTATGACATGCAATAAAGCTCCTCATTAAAAACACCATCAGCCGTTCGGAGGCGGCTAAGCTTAAGCTGTAGGTTCCTCCATTTGTTGGAAAAACATCAAGACGCCAAACCACAAATTGGAGGAGGAGCTCTGCCGAAAATCGCTTAAGCGGTTACAAAGCGCCAATTATTTATATTATATAAGAGGTGACGATAATTCTATAGTTTCCGCGACGTTTTTTTACTCTCACAACTCTAGTCTTTAGCCGACCAAGGAAAGTCAGCTCTGCGGGGTAGGGATCCAAGAGTTTTCTCTCAGTAAGACGTGCCTCTATCGCATGAGCTGACAAAAATATATTGGTTGTCGCTACAACGGGTCTTTTTACCCTCACAACTCTGGATTTGAGCCGACCAAGGACTGTCACTCCGGCAACACTCCCAACAACTTTGGGTAATATTGGTTTGGTTATAGCAACAACCACGGCAATCTCAACACTCTTCGTCAACCATAGCCTGGACATGGAGGACTAGTGAGACACAGAAGAAGAAGCTACGAGGCTGATAAAACACCGCCTTCGCGGGAAACCACCTGATAGCGCCAGAGCATAGCGAAGCATCTATACTACGAGTTAAGGAGTCATAATGATTTGCTGTGTAAGCAATTTTTGCTGGGATGATACCGAAGGGAGCAGAAGCACCATCTAAGCACATTAGAAAGGGTATACTCGACGACAAGAACGCTGGCTGGCTGTAAACGCAATTCACCGAGAGCTCGTTAACTCCTTCTTGTGAATGGCGTTCGCGAAGTCAAACCCCCACCCATTGTGAACAAAGAGCTGCTTCGGGAGCTCCGCGTAACGCCAGCACAAGTAAGATCTGCATACTGTAGTCAACTAAAATACTACCAATGCAGGTTAGACTCCGACATATCCAATGTGTGTCTTGCATGCAATGAGCCTCCGCCTGATACTACACCTCTTCCCATGCCTCTTAGAACCAGCTCATCTAACCCCCGTTCTCCCTCTGTTTCGAGTCCGTCGAACCAGTTAGTTTGCTGGACGACCCTCCTTGAGAATTGTTGCGGGAGTGACAGTGCGTGGCCGGATAAAGAGTCCAGGTAGTTCCGGTATAAAGACTGACTTTAGTCGCCTCTTAGGACGGGTAACGGGTAAATTCTAGGACCCCTAACCGACAGGGGTACTTAGACTGATCTTGCCTGCTCTTAAGCGAGATTAGGGTGACACCAAGTAGTTTCTTCGCCAGCTTAACTCTTTAACTGAACTCATAAACATTTAACCCTTTCTTTCTCTTGCAGAACAAGTCGCTAAATGTAAATGGCGTAGTCTGCGCGACAACTTCGTGAAGGAGCTGAAAAAGGTGCCGGTCTACAGCAACGGCGACACCTACTACATCGATGAACGGGAAAAACCGCGATGGGTACACTTCAATCACTTGATCTTCCTACTGAATGCCTACACGCCCAAACAGAAAGTAATCGACATTAACGCCGAGTCTATAATTGATATACGCTCCTCAGATTCCGAGGATGGCGACTGTTCATTGGAAAATAGTAAAAGTGGTATCGGCAGAGCTGAGGACTCCAATGTAATGCCACAAATAAAACTACAAACGCCACCAGACGATGAAGCTCACTTTCAGAATATACGAAAAATCTATGCATTAGAAGATGATGTGGAAGTGGAGGGGACGGAGGCGGAGGCGGAGGCGGATTTGTATAATTCCGCAACAAGTTTGACACAATGGCCGCAAGAGTGCGCTGTTGAGAGCGAATGTGATGGGAGTAAAAATCAGTTGGCTTGTGGACCTCCACCATTGCAGTTGATACCAACCCAAGCGCTGGAGTCTACATTTCAAGCCGACGTCAAACATGCACTCACGCCAACGACTGAGGAGTATGAAGAGACCTATGATGAGTTCTATAAAACTGCGGCCAAGCGACGGCGATCACTCGAGGCGGAAAGACCGGTTATGAATGAGGAAAACGAGAATCTACTCTTCTTCCGCTCTCTACTTCCCTACATGCGTAACTTAGATGCGGTACAGCAGTTGCGTGTGCGTACACGGTTTCAGGAAATCTTAATGGAAGAGCTGGCTGGCAAAAAGGACTGAGGCTGCATACATTCCGGTAGTGTTAAGGGCTTCTTAATTATGATTTATTTAGTCTTAAGTTATTTATTTAAGAAAAGCAATTATAAAGAAAATAAATTTTTTTCTGGCCGCAACCATTTACTGCATTCTTTGTGGAATTTCTTCACTTGACACAAGCCCGTTTTATATGTGGAACCATCGTCAGGTACATATATAAGTATATCCAATTCGACTTAGGTAGCATAAATCAGCAGAGCCGCAAGGGCTCACTCGTGTGGAAGGCAGGGGGAATGGGACGTGGATTCCAGAAAACTGTAGAACTCTTAAGGTTATCATGAGTTCATGATGTCTAAAAGAGAAGGAGTTCTTCTCCCTTGGCTAGTCGACCTAAGAAATGCACTAGCTGTCACCTGAAGACCTCAGTTATGCCTTGTCTAGTGGTCTCCGCTATGGAAAATGGATTAGTCCCCGTCGCTGAAGTCCTTTTAGCTAAACTTAGTTTAAAGAAGTTCAAACTGTAGGGATACAGAAAGTCCCATTTGTTGTTTCATTAAATTTAAGCCCTTGGATCTGCTAAAGATGATCAGAATTTAATAAGAGATGCCAAAAGAAACCACGTCTGTCATCACCTGATATTTCCTATGAATTGTATGTCTTCCTCTTTTTCCGCTTTTGAAACTTTAGTATTTTCGGCCAACCGGTTGAGATAACCTAGTCAGCGTAGGTGCTTAGCGGTAGGAAAAATCAGTCTAAGTCATCGAAATCATCTAAAGGGTGGTCCAAGAAACGCACTGTTTCGACGGGTTCAGACCAGAGGCAGAGGACTGTTAGATTAGTTGCATATTAGTAGTTAGCAATCTTTACGATAGCCGCATTGGAGTTACCCCGGATTTTAACTGGCCAAGGTCTGTACATTTTCCGACGACCTAACAGCGTTTAGGTCAACAGCTAAACTTACCGGAGCCGTCTTATTTCGCATTTCTCATACAGATCATCAGTCCAAAGTCTGCGGTACTCGCATTCCCCTTCTTATAGATTGGGCACAACACACTTGGGTTCCAATAGTCAGGCAAGCGCTCATTTGACCAAATTATGCAAAGAAACTAATTCAGGCTCTTTGTCAGTTCATGAGCACTGTATTTGAATGAGTTGTTAGTGACGCTTTGTCATTGAACGTCATATTATGCTGGTGGAACGACGTGCTCTCCAATTTTGAGTAACTGTAACTCAGCCCAGTCGCTCCTCGCCAGGGAAGGAGCGGTAGTTTAAGCGATCCATTTTTCATGAATGTTAGATTTTTAAATTTGACAGGTGCCAAAATACAGCACTGTACTTTTGAAAACACGAATTGGATAACCCTATACGTATATTTTTATATTCAAAATCAGAGTTTGTTCCAAATCCAATGAATTAGTAAAAAAAATACAAAAACTGTATGGTTTATGAAATATTTTGAGATTTTTAATGTATTTTTTTATAATTTATTTTACTTACTATTTTTTTTTAAATAATATTTTTTTGTTTATAAATTATATGTTTTCATTTTATTAAATTATTTTATTTCATTTTATTTATTTTTTTAATAATATTTTTTGTTTATAATTTAAATATTTTCATTTTATTAATTTATTTTATTTCATTTTATTTATTATTTTTTTTTAAATAATATTTTTTTTGTTTATAATTTAATTGTTTTTATTTTATTAAATTATTATATTTCATTTTATTATTTTTTTTTAAATACAATTTTTTTTTATAATTTATATGTTTTCATTTTATTAAATTATTTTATTTCATTTTATTTTTTTTTTAATAATATTTTTTTGTTTATAAATTATATGTTTTCATTTTCTCAAACTATTTTATTTTATTTTATTTATTATTTTTTTTTAAATAATTTTTTTTTGTTTATAAATTATATGTTTTTATTTTATTTAACTATTTTATTTCATTTTATTTATTATTTTTTTTTTAAATAATATTTTTTTGTTTATAAATTATATGTTTTTATTTTATTTAACTATTTTATTTCATTTTATTTATTATTTTTTTTTTAAATAATATTTTTTTGTATATAAATTATATATTTTCATTTTATTAAACTATTTTATTTCATTTTATTTATTTTTTTTTTTTAAATAATATTTTTTTGTTTATAAATTATATATTTTCATTTTATTAAACTATTTTATTTCATTTTATTTATTATTTTTTTTTTAAATAATCTTTTTTTGTTTATAAATTATATATTTTCATTTTATTAAACTATTTTATTTCATTTTATTTATTATTTTTCTTTAAATAATATTTTTTTGTTTATAAATTATATGTTTTCATTTTATTAAATTATTTTATTTATTTTTTTTAATAATATATTTTTGTTTATAATTTATATGTTTTCATTTTATTAAATTATTTTATTTCATTTTATTTATTTTTTTTTTTAATAATATTTTTGTTTATAAATTATATGTTTTCATTTTATTAAATTATTTTATTTATTTTTTTTTTAATAATATTTTTGTTTATAAATTATATGTTTTCATTTTATTAAATTATTTTATTTCATTTTATTTATTAGTTATTTTTAAATTTTATTTATATATAATTTTTTCTTTTTTTATTTGATATAATTTTTACTTTTATTGTTTTTTTTTTTTTTGTAATAATGTAATAATTAAAGCTTTCTTTCATTTAAAGCAAATCTCCTACTTCAGCACTGCTTTATCGACATTCAAGTCAAATTCAACTGACAGCTACATTGTAAAGTGATAATCAATGCAACGCTGCCTACAAAGTTGCATAATAATAACTCGATAAACATACATATATACATATGTACATACCTACATATGGGACAGCATGCACATATGCACATAAATATATTATTGCATACCCGGCATACGTAGAGAACATACTTATGTATGTATGTATCAATCTATGTACGCTTGCATTTACTGCTCTTTCACACAGTTGTGTTACTGCTATTGCTGTTGTTGTTGTTGTTGTTCTATTTCAAAGTCACAGCTACCGCAGTGAATACCAAATGTAATGTGGCTGCTATATGAATTACAACAACAACCCTAGCTAACTGTAAAAAAAAATGAATTTACTGTGCAGATGAGCTGCAAACATTGAGAAGCATAAGCTGGAAGCAGAGAGAGATAGAGAGAGAGAGAAGAAGAGCACAATTAACTGAGTGAGCGCTTACCAGAGGCAGAAAATGTTAATTAGCAGAGTACCAAATTGGCAGACTGTAAAGTCAGCTGCTGAGTTTACAGAAAATCTGCAAAGAGCATAACAGTTGAGAGAATTGAAAGATGAAATTGATTTTCAGATTTTTTTGTTAACATTTGCGTTAACAGACTACTGTAAATTGCCCATAGCGCTGCCAGATTTCTTAAAGAGTGAGGGTTGATTTTTTTTTTCTATATTCACCAACACATCTGCTACTAGGACACCAATACTGTCACACAATGTCAGCGCTGTCCGGTATGCTCGCGCATAGAGCGTCGTTGTTTGCCAGGATACGAGCTCGTGTGGCACTCAGCAAGGATATGCGAACGACAGGCTCAATATCAGCGGGTTGTGCGGTCGTCGACAGTTCAACTTCAACTTTGCTGCAACGCTTCAAAAGACACACACAGTTCAAAGCCAGTCAGTCAGTTGTTGCCTTTGTGAAGTCGCGAGTGGTTGTTGAATATTTCGTTTCGTTTCGAACAAAAACAAACGCGACTTGCCACAAGCGAGCAAACAAACAAGCAGCTGTGAGCAGTTCGTGTTTCAAAGTGTACTAAATTATATTAATAATAGAAGATAATAAAAGAAGAAATTCGAATTTTGTGTCGAAAAAGGTTGTTTAATGATAAAAAGCGCAAAAACAAAATTATATTTTATACTTGTTTATTGTTGTTTTATTTACATATATTTTTTTTTGTTTTATATTATTTTTTAACACATTTCCTTTTTTTTTATCTTTTTATTTACTTAATTTTTTATTTATATTTTTTTATTATTTTTTTCAACCCTCCACCAGTGACGTCATATCACTTGTTGTTGTTGTCGCTACTGCACACGTTGTTAATTTGTGTTTTTGTGCAATCGTCAATTTATATTTAACATTTTATTGTTAAAAACACAAAGAAGAAAACACGAAAAATTAAGCGAAGGAAAAGTGAATGCTAACAAATATTTGCCATGGAAATCTGTGAAATTCGTTGCCGATATGTGAATTGAATTGCCAACGGTGTACTAGTAAAGTAGTAACCACAACAAAGGTGACAACAAAAATAACACACATATACATATGTATATTTATCCATACATACATTCATGTGTATGTAAACACAAACGAGAAGTTGCAATAATTTAGCACTTTGTAGTGTGCCACGGCGTGTAAAAGCCGCATTACTGCCCATACGTGTAGATGTGTGCGTTTGTGTGTGTTTGAAATGTTCAATTTTATATGTATGATCGTGGTGAAGCGACACAGTGTGGAGTTTTGTGAATTTTTCGTCTAAAAAAATTGAAATCTAAGCCACAAAAAAAAAATTATAAAACTAAAATAACAAAATAAAAGAAATTAATTATATTCAAATAAAAATATAAATAAAATGAAATAAAATTTAATTTAATTATATTAAATATAAGGAAATAATAGAAAATAAAATATAATAAAACAAAGTGGATGAAAAAAAAAACTAAGTAGTATTGAATAAAAAACAAAGTAAAATATTATTAAAAAAAAAAATATAAAAAAATAAAATAAAACGAAAAAAAAATGAAAAAAAAATTTAAAAAAATTATAGAATAAATAAAAAAAAGAATTAAAAATGTACAACAAAAAATTAATGAAATATATTATATGTTATAAAAAAAAATAAATTAAAGAACGCTTAAAGTTTTATCTATCCAGATAAGATTAAATAAAAAAATAAGTTTTAAAACTTATAACATAAAATAAAATATAAAATAAACTATAATGTAATTAAAAAACAAACGAATAAAGCTTTGAAAAACACACCTTAAATCAAAGCAAACAGAATTAAATAAACTGAAATAAAATAAAAAATGTAAAATAAAAAACTTGTATTTAACAAAATTAACTCAAATTAGAAACAAAATGGAAAAAATTAAGTAAAACAAGGTAAAATAACATAAATTAAGACAAACAAAAACTTAATAAAATAATAGCAAAAAAAATCGAATGAAAAATAAACTATATTAAAATAAATAGAAATAAATCAAATAAAATAGGTTAAAGAAAAATTAAATAAAACCGGACGAAATAAAATAAATAAAAATAATAATAAAGTAAAAAAAAGTAATGAATACTAAAAATATATGAAACATTACTAAAATAAATTATACAAAAAAAATTAAATTAAACTCTTTTAGATTAAACAACATACATTAAAAAATAAAATAAAAAAAATTAATATAAGATAAAATAATAAATCAAATAAGGTGAAGTAAGATTAAACGAAATTTAACTGAAATAAATATTTTAATATAAGAAAAAATAAAATAAAATATAATAAAAAAATAAATAAAATAATATATAAAATAAAATAATATAAAATAATAAATAAAATAAAATATAATAAAATTATATTAAAAAAAAAACAAAACTAAAACTAAAAACTAGATAAAATGAATGAAACTAACTTAAATATTGGATGAGTGCATAAGTTCGTGCCCGATTTCAAGTGCAAACTAAAATTGAAATTTTTTGAAGAAAGCGCTTTTATTAATCAATTATGTATTCGCCATCATGTTCGGCAATCCACTCCCAACGTTCAACCAATTTACGGATGCCTGATTAATCGAAATTGCGTGGTTTCTCGTTGAAACAGATGTCAAGGTGGTTTTTGACGTCTTCCACATTTTCAAATTTTTTTCCATTCAAATTGTTCTGCAGCGATCGAAACAAATGATAATCAGAGGGTGCAATGTCAGGTGAATATGGGGGATGCGGCATGATTTCCCAATTCACCTCCTTCAGTTTGGCCAGGGTCGGTTTAGCAACATGTGGCCTGGCGTTGTCATGATAGAAAAGAACTCCTTTGCGATTGGCCAAAATCGGACGTTTTTCATCAATTGCTTTCTTCAATTCGACCAATTGCTGACAATACTTGTTGGCAGTGATCGTTTCTCCAGCTGGCAAGAGCTCAAAATAGATCACGACTCGGATATCCCACAAACGATTCGAACGGCATCCAGCGGAATCGGGCACGAACTTATGCACTCATCCAATATATTGGAAATAAATAAAACGAAAATAATACAAGGAGAAAATTACTTCAAAAAGAGAAATTATAATAAAATAAAATAAATTTGAAAAACAAAATTAAATTAAATAAATTAAAATAAAATAAAATTAAATTTAATATTTTTACTTAAAATAAAATAAAATGAAAGTAGCTAAAACCCTACTGAATTAAATAACAAAAAGCAATACAAAATAAAAGACAGTGAAAAATAATATAAAAAAAGAAAATGATAAATAGCTAAACTAAATTAAATAGAATGACAAAATAAAATTAAACAAAATTGAAAAGTAGGTAAAATTATATTAAAAAATGAAAATAATGAAATAAAAAAATTAATTAAAATTAACTAATTAAAGAAAATGTAGAATAAATAAACGAAAATAAATAAATAAAATAATATAAGATAAAATAACTTATGTAAACTAAATAAAAATAAGGTTAAAATATACGACAACTAAATAAAACAAAAAATAAATGGAAATGAATAATAAAATAAACGGAAATGAATAATAAAATAATAGCATAAAAATTAATCCAAAAAAAGTAAATATATGTAATGCTATATATATTAAATTGATTTAAGAGTAAAAAAATAAAACGCAAGGGAAAAAGAAAAAATATAATTAAAAAAATAAAAGAAAATAAACAACATTAAATTTAATAAAAAATAATTTAAAATAAAGTCAATTGAAATTCAAAAATAAAAATTAAATAAAAAAAAATAAGAAAAAATAAATATAAAAAATAAATAATTAAAAATAAAAATTATTAATACAATAAATATAGTTATAATAAAAAATAAAAATATTAGAAATTATTAAAAAATTATTGTGGAATTTCAATGAAATAGTAAAAGATAAAATATTAAATATATAATAATTACTTTAAAAATACAAACAAAATTAAAGAATTAAACCAAAGTTACTCTGATATATAAATATTAATAAATATATTTACTAAAAAAAAGGTGTATGTGAAGAAGTGAAGTGAATTAAGAAAAAATATCCTTTGAAAGCTACTCTTCAAACATATTTGTATTTTCAAATCGCCACACCAGATAAATCCTAAATACATTTGTACATACAAAAATCCTTATCAGAAAAGGCTCCCGAACGCATTTGCTCATCAAACTCCATTTCATATCTTCAACAGTTGATTATTCGTACCCAAGTCCTTCTTGAGCTCTCTATGTAATTTTTAAGCAGATTTTCCGTTTTATGTGCCATTGTGCCAACCAAGCAAACAAAGCCGGCACAGCGCGAGCCCCTCTTCACTTTCAAACGCTAATAATTTCATTTCCAATTGCCCGTCTGCACACATTGAATCTTTGAAAACCTACACGACACAGCTGCCACCACCAGCAAGTAATATCGACTGCGAGTTAGTTGGCAAACAACAGCGTTTGATTCATTCACTAACAAACAGTCTGCTCTTCCTACACACACACACATACATACTTGGTTGCTGGCTTCCACAACTCGCCACTGGATCTTCCTAATCTCTTCATCCTTGCTTATGCTCACCCCTTCTTGGCGCTTGCTCGCTCTCTCTGTCTCCCCACAGCGGCTAAATATTATATGTGGCCAGCCAAGCTCATGCATTACTATTTAGAAGCATTTCGAGAAAAAAACACAACGGTAAAGGCGCTTCAACACGCCAAGAAACGAAGAAGTAAATATGAAGAAACGAGGGTTGATATATATGTAAGATACGTACGACTGTATTGTAGACCTCAAAGGAAAAAATTTAAAACAAAAAAAATGCAAAACAAACAGAGTGGAGTAAAAGCAAACAACGCCATGGAGTGCCGCCACAGTGACTGCCGCCGTTATGTTGCGTATACATACAAACAAACCAATATACTTATATCTGAATGTACATACATACATACATATGTATATAAATTTCATTAAATCGAATTTCCATTTTTGGTAACTATAACAACGGTAATGGCAATTGTGTAGCAACAGAAGGACATTTGTTTTATTTCAGAAATATATTAATACACATGCATATCCATACAACCCACATACATATGTATGTATATTTCCATACACATAAATGAAAAAATACTTGTAAGTCAGTACTTAAGTGAGCGTGGCTATTTTGTGACTTATTGCTGTTGTTGTCTGTGATTTTATCATGTTACTGTTGTTGTTGTAGCTCTACCATGTCCATGCGCTTTATTGGCGTTCTTGTCATGGAGTGTTTTCTTTCTTTACTTCTTTATCTTCTTTTTTTGTAACATCTGGCAACTGCTATTTTTTGAATTTTTTCTTTTTATTTTTGTTTATTTTGCTCTTCTTTTCATTTATTTATCTACTATACGTGAGTGTTGTAATAATAATCGAAAATTAACGAAATTGAAAATCAAAGAATTAATAAGAAATAAAATTAATTTTTTTTACAGTAATAAATAATTCATATTAAAGCAGTGATTGCTTGAAGAAAATATTTAAAGAAGACTAAAAGAAATTGATTTGTAAATAAATTAAAACAAATTCAACAATCTACAGCAAAGTTAAACAAAATCCAAAAACAAAGAGATGTCTGCAGTCAGCAGTCGCAATCAAAAAATGGAACAACAGGTGAGTGTGATAATGATAAATTAAGGATGAAGGGGAATATGATCAAAATAAAATAAAATAAAATAAAATAAAATAAAAAAAAATTAAATTAAATTAAATTAAATTAAATTAAATTAAATTAAATTAAATTAAATTAAATTAAATTAAATTAAATTAAATTAAATTAAATTAAATTAAATTAAATTAAATTAAATTAAATTAAATTAAATTAAATTAAATTAAATTAAATTAAATTAAATTAAATTAAATTAAATTAAATTAAATTAAATTAAATTAAATTAAATTAAATTAAATTAAATTAAATTAAATTAAATTAAATTAAATTAAATTAAATAAAATAAAATAAAATAAAATAAAATAAAATAAAATAAAATAAAATAAAATAAAATAAAATAAAATAAAATAAAATAAAATTAAATTAAATTAAATTAAATTAAATTAAATTAAAATAAATTAAATTAAGTTAAATTATATTAAATAATATAATAATACAAAATATTAAATTAAACTGAATAAAGTAAGGAAAATTAGATTTAAATAAATTATGTAATATTAAATGAACTTAAATTAAATATATAAAAAGGAATATAAATAGAACAAAATAAAGTAAAATAATAACAATAAAAACTTAAAAAATAATTGAAGTTGAATAATAATATAAATTTTATTCATGTTTAGGCCCCTTCTAAAAAATGGCTCCACCTCCAACTCATGTCATTTTTGGGTAGTCTCTTTTGACAGCAACCAGTTCTTTGCCTCTTCAAAAAAGATATTACTTCTTTCGACTACTGACCCATCGTTTGGGTCTTTCAAAGAAATCGAAGCATGGTTCAATGATTTAATCAATGACAGGGAGAACTAATTTTTTCGATATGACATTCGAAAATTACCCAAGAAATGGAAAGAACTAGTCGCCTTCAAAGGAAAATACTTTGATTGATGTATTTATTATTTATATTTAATAAAAGCACTCCCAATACAAAAAAAAAAATAAAATTTGAAATAAAGGACATAATAGAGAATAAAATACTAAAAAAATAAGATAATAAAAAAAAATTAAATAAAATATTAGGGAATACAAATGTAATTTTAATAAAATAAAAAATTAAAAAGTTAAATATTAAAAGGGAGAAAAAAGGTATATAAAATTTAGTTCAAAATTTAAATAATTTTAATTTATGGAAAGGAAGAATAAGAAATAAAGTACAAGTAATGTCTTGAGCTCCTTCTACTCAAACCCACGATTTACCGCATAGTAGCACGCACTCCTACGCACACGCCTACTGCGACAGCGTCAGCTTATTGATAGTTCGAAGTAATATCCCTGCGTTTGCTCAAATATTTCAGAATAAATTAAGGCAACTATTTTCTGGCTTCCTGTTATCTGTCTTAGCTGCTGATTTGGAAATTAATTCATAATCAAGCCGAAAGATAAATCCTCTCAACCTTGAGCTCCTCAAATCCGCATTCAAATCACTTCCCAATTGCAGTTGCTCTAATCCTTTGCAGACAAAATCAATTTGTATATATTTCTTTATATATATATATATATACACATGAGTAAGTGTGTATAAAAAACAACTGATTGAAAATCCTAATTGATGCACATGACTTAATAAATTAAGTTTCGGTTTTCGATAAAATCGAACAAAACAATTTGCTTGATTACTTGACAACGGTCGCCGACAGGACAACCCAAACAATTATTGGAAATTTTCGATGAACACATACGAAATGTCTGTATACATGGGGGTGTGTATATTTACATATATGTATGCGTAACATTAAGAGAAAGTATAAATAGCACAGTCACTCACACAAAACTATCCAACTTTCCTAGCGTGTGGGGAAAAGGAGTCGGAAGGAGTTCATCCTGCCAATGACTAATTGTTCAAATTTTGGAAAATTGATTCAACTATTTTTCCTGTGCACACAAATGCACATACATATGCAAAAACCACCAGAATGTTGTTGTTGTGCAGCTAACCTTACGTTTCTCTAACAAAAGCTCATTACCCAAGCAGGAAAAGTAAAAGCTGCTACTTTGGTTATGGGTTTTTTGGTTAGAAAGTAAACCAGTTGGTATCCGGTATGGTATTTAGTACCAAGATCTATTACTCAGACGCTCAATGCTTTCTATGTTATTGGCACTTTTTAAATGTTGAAGTGATTTTCGGGCGGTTCTTCAATAAATGGTGGGACCTACAGCTTATACTAAGCCGTCTCCGAACGACTGATGGGTTTTTATGAGGAACTTTTTTTATTTCATGTCAGAAATAGTTGCTGAGGGCTTGACATTCTCCGCTGAGAGGCGAACACGATTAGAAAAAGTATTTTTTTTATTATTTTAGATGTTATTCAAAGCAGGACCCGAACCCTGGTACTTTATAGTAGTGAAAAATTTCAGTCAAAATCAACTTCCAGAATCCCAACACGCTTTCCCTACAAAATTCTTCAGAAATCTTGAGTTCGGGTGAAAGTTCGGTCCCCCAACTTGAAGAACCTTCCTTTCACTAGTCAGCCGCTTGAAGCTCTAACGAAAAACGGTAGGAGTATACATTTCCAGGAACCTTAAATCGCTATCGTAATCATCGAGCCATGGTTTGTTCTACTGAGTTTAGATTGCACAAAGACACAGGTGACAGACAAGCTCGTCCTTCTTTATTGTGCTACAAGCAGCGTTCTACAACCGATATCTAAAGCTTTATTAATGGCAACCTCAGAAAAACAAGCGAGTAAGGAATCCGTACCTCAAGTAATATAAGATTCAATGAAGAATCTGAGCCCGATAAAGTCAATATTGATTTAATTAAGATTTCATATCCCCCTAAGCGGTTTTTGTTAGAGCTATCCCTCCGATATATGGTCTGATGTCTTCCTTATATGGTTTGAGGACCTAAAGTTCATATATACATTTATTAAATGAGATTTTGGTACGAGCTCCTCATCCCATTTGTAATGACGTTTTCAGGTTTTTCGAACAAATGAAGGGTCCTTCTCCTTTTTGGCCGAGACTCTCCTCCAATTCGTGTTTTTGCATCTTGATGTTTTTCCAACAAGTCGGGGGACCTACAGACACCAGGATTTGATACCGAGTCTTCCAAATTGCAGTACGCAATGCGAACCACTCGGCTACCGCGGCCACAGCCCTTAATTGACTCATGAAGGCTAATGAGGTCTCCGTATGTGGAAAGTTGAGCTCGTTGACGTATAGCCCAAGTCAGTAGGCGATGGAAGACATCATTTTACAGAGGATATACAGGAAAATTGTACAAAATTGTGCTCGAGCGATTAATTCAACAGTATCAGGATATCTCAGGACTTCAAAAAAAAGACTACTATATTTCCCTTTGCAAATAAGCTCATATCAGTTGGCAACAAAGACCTACCCTAATATCTTTGTCGATTTTTTTAAAGTCAACCAACTGCTCTTTAAATTGACGGCTTCCTTGGGGAGGGTTCTATTGTATATCGATAATATCCCACTTCCCTTGTAAGAACGCTGTGAAGGAAATCAGATCTTGAATCTGCAAACAAAAAAGGATCACTTTGTTAAAAGACTCACTCCAGTGCTACCCACGTCTGCCAGCAATTGGCTGTGTGCTCTGGGTAAGTCCAGATTCTCTTTCGATTGAGCTTTTCGATGAAGATTGCTCTATTTTCGAAACTGCCTATAACTTACAGCAAGTTCCTGGAAGTGTTTTTCTTCTAATTCATCTATGAGGAGAGGATTCTTGTGTCGTCATCGGATAGAATAGTAACGCTCTTATGTGTGTCTGAGATCTATTTAATGCTTTAAAGTCGAACAGGAGAAACTCTTCAAAGTCATTTCTACTCTTCCTTCTTTGCTTTTGCAAAGCAAGCTTATCAGCTAACGATCTATCGAGCTTGTTCCATAAGGAAAAAGTGGTTCCCCCTAAAGAGTACAGACTTCTACTTCATATTTCAGTTGAAGGAGACTTTTAACGAATGATTTTTTTATTTCACTTCTGATTTTAATAAAAGCCAAGATCTACTCCTTCTTAGTATTTTAGTCTAGCGACCTTAGATGAATCCTTGCTGAGAAAGGTCTGTGGCACTGATTGAAGGGTCTTTTCAAGTCGGCTTAGTCTAGTTTCGTGAGGTAAAGTCGCCTAGCTTCTCTGTAAGACTCCCAAGCCAAGAGACTTTTAAAGCCCACGCTCGTAAAAAGTTAGGTTATAGTATATATTGTATATATATATATATATGTATGTAAGTATATTAAATGGAATACCCAACAACCTGTAAATCCTCACTCCAAAGTCATTTTACCGAGTATTAAGTGGACTTGTGGTAAAGGCAAAAATACATTTAACAGTAAGTCGCTGCTTGAGGTTTCACCACACCACCACGATGAGGAAGTTTCTATGGAAGTCCACACACACACAGCCCACCAACAACACATATGCACCTTTGTAAATAGAAAAGTTAACTTTCCAGGGATTAAATGTGTGAATATAAAAGTTAGTCATTGGTTTGTAGCAGTTCGTTAAGCCAAGGAAAACAGGATAATGGTAACGAGTTGGCAGGACACTCCACACACATGTCTCTACTGATGAGTTTGGCTTTTGGAAAAGTTACGTTTGTGTGTGTGCGTGTTTATAGAGTCAATGGTGAGCCAAAAAAGCCAAATAAAATAGAAAAACCAAAGGAAAAAATACGAAAACCGAGCTAATGAATTGTGCCAAAATAGTAGTAGACGAAAGGACGAAATAAGAATATTAAATGCAAGTTAGAAAAATGCCAAGAAATGGCAAAAAATAAATGATATTAAGTACTGTATATAATGAAAATAGAAAGCTACTGTGTGCTTTTAAGTTTTGTTCTAAAAAGATTTAACCGAAGATGCGGCTTATACCACCTTCTTAAGGAAAGTTGGTTAGTTTAAAATATACCTGGTACTTTCAGTGAGTTAGTAGAGCACGCTCAACCAATGCTTCTTCCAAATGTATCCAGTTTCTTACTAACGAGGACTTTTC